CGTATTGGAGGCCTCCGGCTGGCTTTTTTTGGGCAGTCTGAGGTTATTTTCAGGCCATCTGGGCCCATCTTGGGTGCATCTTGGGGCCATCTTCGCCATCTTGGAAGCCTTCTTGGCCGTCTTGGAGGCATCTTGGAGGCCATCTTGGCCGTCTTGGAGGCCATCTTGGGCGTGATGGGGCCTCTTGGGCCGTTTTGGGGTCTTGCTGGGGCCCTCTTGGGGGCCTCTTGGCCTGTCATGGGGCCATCTTGGAGGCCTCTTGGGCGTTGGGCCGTCTTGGGCCGTCGAAGAGCTGAAAAGAAGAAAACGCCAAAATCCTTCAAAACCGGAGGGGGGTCAATGATTTTGGCCTCTTCGGGCCTTCCGGGTGGAGCTCTTGGAGGCATACTGGGCTGTCTTGGAGGCATCTTGGGCGCCTCTTGGGCCACCTTCGGCTCTCTTGGGGATACTTCTGCCGTCCTGGAGGCCATCTCGGCCGCCTTGGAGGTCATCTTGGCCGTCTTGAGGCATCGTGGAGGCCACCTTGGGCGTCTTGGAGGCCTCTTGGGCCGTCTTGGGACCCTCTTGGGGCTGGGGTTTGGGGGCCTTTTGGACCGTCCTGGAGCCATCTTGAAGGCATCCGGGACGATTTTAGGGACTCCTTGGGCCGTCTTGGGCGGTCGGAACACCAATTCGGAGGAAAAGCCAACATCCTTCTAAAACCAAAGGCAAATCAATGATTTTGGCTCCCTCGGGCCTTCCTGGAGAACCTCTTGGATTCCTCTGGGGCCATCTGGGAAGCCTCTCGGGCCCATCTTGGACCATCTTGGCCGTCTTCGCAGCCATCTTGGGCATCTTGGAGGCCATCTTGGCCGTTTTGGAGGCATCTTGGATGTGCGTTTTGGAGGCCTCTTGGGCCGTCTTGGGGCCCTCTTGGGACCGTCTTGGAGGCCTCTTGGGCCGTCATAGGGCCATCTTGGAGGCCTCTTGGGCGCTCTGGGGCCGATCTTTCGGCCCTCTTGAGCCGTCGTGGCGCGTCGACGGCTGGAAAATAGCAAAAGCCAGAATCTTTGAAAAACCTTTGAAGAACACTGTTTTTGGCCTCTTCGGGCCATCCTGGAGGACGTCTTGGAGGTCTCTTGGGCCGTCTTGGAGGCCTCTTGGAGGCCTCTGGGGCCGACGTGGGCCGTCTAGAGGTTTCTTGTGCGAACTTGGAGGCATCTTGGACTCTCTTGGGCCGTCTTGGAGGCCAGCTTGGACCATCTTGGGCGAGCTTGGAGGCCATCTTGGGCCATCTTGGCCCTCTTGGAGGCCATCTTGGAGCCGTCTGGAGTAGGAAGAACCTCGGCGACCGGCTCTGGGAGAGTTTTCTGGACCTTCTGGGACCCCGGCGGGACGGGCCGAAGCACCAGGGAGTCTTTTAAAATAACCCAAATCGAAAGGATCTAGCACGCCGGGCACCCCTGTGGCAAGCCAACAGGGGGCGGCGGATCGAAGAGACCTACAGCGAATCACTGTCGCCCCCTGCCTTTTTGGAATCGCCTATGTGGCCGAACGTTGAAACCAGAGCTGCCAAGCTATCGGACCATGTGTTCCCCGAATCGGTTTGGAAAGCCTTCGGGGAACACGTGGACATCTTGAAGGTCATCTTGGCCGTCTGGAGGCCACCTTGACCCTTTCGGGCCTTCTCGGAGGACGTCTTGGAGGGCTCTTGGGCCGTCTTGGAGGCCATCTTGAGTGTCTTGGAGGCCTTTTGGGCCGTCTTGGGGGCCTCTTGGGGCCGTCTTGGGCCTCTTGGGCGATCTTTGGGGGCACTTGGGCCGTCGCGGGCCGTGGCCGAACAAAGAGCAAATGCCACAATCCTTCAAAAACTCATGGGAAATCAATGATTTTGGCCTTGTCGGGCCTTCCTGGAGGCCCTCTTGGAGGCCTCTTGGGCCGTCTTGGGCCATCTTAGGGCCATCTTCGGCCGTCTTGGTGGGCTCCTGGCCCGTCCGACGCCGTCGGAAGCCGTTTGGGGGGCCTCTCTGGGCCGACTCGGGGCCCTCTTGGAATGCTCCAGGGCCGTCCTGGAGGCCATCTTGGGCGTCTTAAAAGCCTCCAGGGCCGTCTTGGGGGCCTCTTGGGGCCGTCTTGGGAGCCTCTTGGGCCGTTTTGGTGCCATCTTGGAGGACTCTTGGGCGATCTTTGGGCGGTCTTTGGGGGCTCTTGGGCCGTATCGGACCGTCGGAAGGCGGAAACGAAGCAAGTGTCAAAATCCTTCAAGGACAACCACTGTTTTTTGCCTTTTCTGGCCTTCCTGGAGGCCTTCTTGGAGGCCTCTTGGGCCGTCTTGGAGGCATCTTGCGGGCCTTTTGGGCCGTCTGAGGCCTTCTTGACGGCATCTTGGGCCGTCTTGGAGGCATCTTGGGACCGTCTGAGCCGTCTTGGAGGCCATCTTGGCCATCTTGCAGGCATCTTGAGGGCCATCGTGGGCCATCTTAGCCGTCTTGGAGGCCATCTTGCAGCCATCAGGAGCGAAACATCGACGGGGTAGCGATCTTCCGGGTGGCCGGTGGGACGGGCCGAAGCCCCAGGGGGAGTGCTTTTGGAAAAAGAACCAAAGCCAAAACCGTACATAATAATCTAGCACGCCAGGCACCCCTGCGATGAATCGACAGGGGGGGCGGATCGAAGACACCTACGGCGAATCACCGCCGCCCCCTGCCTTTTTGGAAGCGCCTATGTGGCCGAACGTTGAGGCCAGACCTGCCAAGCTATCGGACCATGTGTTCCCCGACTCGGTTTGGAAAGCCTTTGGGGAACACGTGGGCATCTTGAAAGTCATCTTGGCCGTCTGGAGGGCCGTCGTCGTGGGCCTCTTGGGCGATCTTTGGGGGCTCTTGGGCCGTCTCGGGCCGTCGGAAGGCCGAACAAAGAGCAAAGAGCAAAAGCCACACTCCTTCAACACTCCTTTGGCCCATCCCGCCACCGTGCTTGGGTTGTGGGTTAGATGCCTCTTGGATGTTCGTTTGGATATCGTGGGAGGCCATTCCAAGGCCTCTTGGAGGCAGTTTGGGGGCCTCTTGGGGCATCTTTTTGGGCCTCATGGGGGCCTCGTCGGGGGCCTCTTAGGCTTTCTTGGGGGCCTCTTGTGGCCTCCTGGGGGAGTTTTCGGGCGGAAGGCTTGAATTGTCGGTTTGTGTTCCCTCTCTTGGGGCCGTTTTGGGGTTCTCTTGGGCCGTTTTGTGCGCCTCTTGGGCCGTTTTGGCGCCCTCTTGTGCCGTCTTGGGACCCTTGCTGGGGTCATCTTGAGCCGTCTTGGGGCGGTCTTTGGGGCCTCTAGGGCCGTCTTGGAGCGTCGGAAGCCTGAACATGTGAGAACGCGAACAACATCGAAACATATGAGGCCCATCAGTGAATTGTGCCTCTTGGAGGCCTCTTGGGCGCTTCTTGGGCTCCTCTTGGCCCGTCTTGGGGCCCCCTGGCCTCTGGACAAGTCACGTGAGGCAGCCCAGGAGCGCGAGGGGGCGCCCAGGAAATTTCAGAATTTGGGGCCCCAGTCCCTAGAACACTAGATTGCCCCAGTCCTGAGCACAGAGAACAGAGAACACATGATAGTCTGGGGGTAGCTCTGCTTCGAGCCTGGAGGCACCGTGGCGAATACACACACATATATATATATATATATGGATCGATAGATAGGTATATATATAGATATATAGATAGATCTACATATTTCTGCACACATATCTATGCATACATCTGTACACACACGTGCAGTTATCTATGGTGGTCGATCGACCGGTTCATATAGTGAGATCGACGGATTGTCATATCGATAGATATTGTTATATGCGTAACCATGTCTTTGTACAGAGAGAGAGGGGGGGGGAGAGAGAGAGAGAGAGATAGAGATACTGCGACTCAGTTCGGACGCCAATCGCAAACCGACAGGCACCAACCTCCTGATCACCCGACGGGTGGTCTTCTTGATATGTTTTTGGAAGGTTGCATTGAGGCCTTCCTCCAAGAGTTTGTTTGTTAGAATTCGCAAGTGTAGACTTGTGTGGGCCAATACTTGTTACTGTAGCCTTGCGTGTTTGAGACATCTGTGTGTGCAGCTTTTCCTTCTGCGCGTGGACCAGGGCTGTGCTTCTTTCAGACGTGATGCTCTCGTCTAAATCTAGGCCACTTATCCGCATTGCGCTTGTGCAGAGTCGCGTTTTCACCGTTGACTATCACGTTTCTGGGAAGGCTAAGGGCTCGGATGTCCAACATACGTGGACAGGTAGAGAGAGCACACAGTTCGGAGAGTCCCAAGAGCTCGAGGATTGGGGCAAGACCAGCACTCCGAGGACACGGGGTCGCATAAATGAGGTCCGCCTGCCTTGAGGCCGGCCTACCTGTCTGCCGTCCGGCCCGCTCAAGGTCTGCCCGCACGCGGACCGTGCGCCTTCGGGCCCGCGCGCCCGCCCGCCTTAGATCCCCCTTCCCCCTCTCTCCCGCTCTCCCCCTCCATCGCCCTTCCTGCATCCCCATCGTCGTTTCTTCCATCTCGTTGCCCATACCCCTCGCCCTCACCCTCACCCTTCCCATAACCCCGTCTATCGGTCACCGTCTTTCGTCTTGGTTTTTGGTTAATATCTCTTTCTCTTTGTCTCTGCCTCCCCCCCTTTTCTTCCGTCTCGCCTTCTTTGCTTCTCTGCGTTCCTTCCTCCTCCTTTCTCTCCTCCTCCTCCTCCTCCTCCTCCTGCTCGTCCTCCTCCTTCCCCCCCCCCCAGTCGCCTCCGTGTTTTCCCTCCCCCCTGCCCCTGTCCCGAACCCCGTCCCTTCCTCCCCCATCCCTTCCTCCCCTCCCTGCCCTCTGCTCCCCTCGCGCCCTCCCGTCTCCCTCCCTGCCCTCTGCTCCCATCACGCCCTCTGCTTCCCTTCCTGCCCCCTGCTCCCCTCGCGCCCCCCCTCTCCCCTCCATCTGTGAATCCCTCCCCCCGCATCCCTCCATCTCTCTGTACCTCCCTCTCTGTTCGCTTCGCAGCAAGGCACCCTCTTCATGGTCTTCTACATTTCCGTTCTTGCGAACTTGCTGGAGCCTCTCCAGTGCCTCCAGAATCCGAACGGCCTGTGGACCATGCAAGTGTCACCATCAGTCATCTGCTGGGAGACGCAGGACGCATGGACGGAGAGAGATGCGCCGACAGATCAGGGGGCGTGGTACGGGCTTTAAGTGTAAAGGGATGGTTCTGGATGGTTCCCCCATGTCGTGTTGGGACGTTCGCAGTCTTTCGCCTGACGGAAAACCGCAGATGGTCAGCAGAAGTTGGCAAAGGCAAGAGCAGATCGGCGTTCCTGGCGGACGCCGGCAATGGTACGCGAATCGTCCTGCGGCAAACCTATTTGCGCCTGCCCGCTATGCTGCTCAGCGTTTGGACATGTCGCCAGCGAAGCCAAGCCATGCCAAGTCAAGTCAAGCTAAACTCACGCAGTGTTAGGATACGCTTCCGTTAAGTTGGATTATCTGAGAATGTATCCAGACCATCTACGACGCGCGGCAATATCAACGGGCCGACCCAAGACGAATCACTCCGAGGTTTGGGGCTGAGAACGAAGTGACCGCAACCGGGACATCGGTTTCTGTTCGTGTCGTGCGTGCGGCGCGAGGGCGAAGTCGCTAATAGATTTCACCAGGCGCGCGGTTCCTGAATGCAGTTATCCCACAGTTGTTCCATGATTGTCCTGCGGTTGTCTCATGGGTTGTCCCGCGATGGTCCCGTGGGTTGTCCCGTGGGTTGTCCTGTGGTTGTCCCGTGGGTGGTCCCGTGGGTTTTCCCGCGAGATGTCCCGTTGGTTACCCCGCGGGATGTCTTGTGGTTGTCGCGTCAGTTGTGCCGTGGGAAACGCACGTTGAGTTGCAAATCCAACGGCAATCGGAATTTACATTGAATTGTACCTCGTAGTACGACACTCATGCACATCAAAATGCACATCGACATAACATCTAAGCTCAAGTCGACATTGATCATCGACTTGAGCATCGGCATTCACATCGAAATGCACATCAACATGCAGATCGCATTGCATATGGAAGAGTGGATCGAACTGCAGTCGAAACTGATATTGGCATGCAAGTCGACTTGTGAATACAGTTGCAAACCGAAATGCAACTCGACATGCACATCGACAAGCACATCGAACTGCACATCGGCTTGACAACTGGTACGTAATTAACGTGCAAGTTGATTTTGGCATTGACACGTACATCGGCAAGCAATTCAGCGTGCACATCAATCTGCACATCGAATTGTTAGTCGAACTTGACACCGACACGCCCATACAACTGCACACCGAGACGCAGCTCGAAATGGTCATTGACATGCAAGACAGCATTCACATCTAAGTGCAATCCACTCGCCATAGCACAACACGTCGAGCTTGACTTTGGACGGCACATCGACATACACATCGTATGTTTGCTGCGGGAGGCCCGCCGCCGCTGGCTGCCCGCCCCCGGCGCCGCCCCCGCCGCGCGCCTGGCCCTGCTCTGAGCGTGCCGGGCTTCTCCCTCTTTCCCGCCGCCGCCGGGCGCCTCTTCCTCCTCCTCCTCCCCCTCCTCCTCCTCCTCCTCCTCCTCCTCCTCCTCCTCCTGCATGGTGGCCTAATTCGCGTTCCGTGCGCCCCACCGAGGCCGCTTTCGCCAGCGCAGTGAATCTGCCTAACCGCCAGCGCAAGAGTGTGTGTGTGTGTGCATGCGTGCGTGCGTGCGTGCGTGCGTGCGTGTGTGTTTGTGCAGATGTGGGTTGATATGAACATACGTGTTGATTGTGGTGCTGGTGGGTAGTTGGTCGGGTCTGTATATAGTACGATCGGTGGACGAATAGTGGGGCCGATAGAAATGTCGTGATTTCAATCGGTAGACAGTGGGGTTGATGTGTGCGTAATTGAGATCCACGGGTGGGTAGTGAGGTCGATAGATAGTGAGGTCGGTATATACACATATTGCGAATCTGACCAGACGCCAAATGCAAACCGAGAGCTGCGCCCATCCCCCTTCCTCACCAGTAGGGTGGTCTATGATCTAGTTGAATGTCTGCCAGCGCAGACCCGGCACATATGGTTTTTGCTCTGTCGATTTGCAGCCACTTCAACCAGTGTTAATGGTGCAGTAGGTGTGGCGCCATATACGGGATGCATTCTTTGTTCTGCATGCTAGTTTGCAATATATGCAGTGCAAGCTGTGGAGGTGGCTGGTGGCCGTCGGCCCTTTTCCGCCACCGTGCGTAGGATGTAGGTCAGAGGCGTCTTGGATGCCTGTCGGAATCTCTTGGAAGCCTCTTGGAGGCGGTTTTGGAGCCTCTTCGGGGCCTCTTTGAGGCTTGCTCCCAGGAGATCAGTCACGAAAGTAGGGTTCTTCGCGCAACTGGCAGCGCCCACGGCGGGGAGGGCCGTCTTGGTCTGCGTGGGGCCTCTTCTGCCTGTTGGACCTCGCAGGAGGGTGCGAAAGAGGCGCCATTTGCGCAGTTGGCAGTGCCAACGGAGAGGAGGCCGGCAGTTTTCCCGATGCGCTGGCGCACGGCCGCTCCTCTTGGTACGCTTCTTTTCTTGCCTTGCTTGTGGCCCTCGGCTCCTCCTCCTCTTCTCCCCTTCTTCGCCCTTGTGTTCCCTCTTCCTGGTGTTCTTCCCCCTGCCCTTGTGTTTCCTTGCCTTGTGCGCGGTCTGCTCTCCTGTCTCCTTCTCTCTCCCTGCTGGGCTTCCGCTCCCCGTCCCCCCGTCCCGTCCCTCCTTCTGTCGGCCCGGTCTGTCTCCTCCAGGCGTCCCCCCTCCTCTCCTCCTCGCTTTCTCGCTCCTCGGCTCCTCGCTTTAGGCCCGTTTCGGTTCCTAGCCTGGCCTGCTTGGCTTCCTCGTTTGGAGGTGGCTGTGCCATTACATCTGCGTCCTTGTCACAGTGTGCAGTTGTTGCGCGCTCAGATTGAACTTTCTTGCAACAGCGCTGGCGATGTGACGATGTGTTCAGGGAGGTCCCGTTCGGGTCGCGTAGAACGTCACTCCGATAGAATTTCCAGGAACTCAAGCGCCTATGGAGGAGAGGTCCCGTTTGGGTCCACATATGACGTCGCTCCGCTGGACCCCCTGGAGCTCACGAAAGTGGCGGCAACTGCTCGGGTGGCAGCGCCCATTGCGAGGTGCTGCTTGGGTCTGCGTGGGACGTGATTCCGCTGGACCTCTAAGGAGCTTACGAAAGTGGTGACAGTTGCGCAGTTGGTAGCGCCCACGAAGGTCGCGTGGGATTTCTCTCCGTTGGACCCCCAAGGAGATCACGAAGGTGGCGGCAATTGCGCAGTTGTTAGCGCCTAGGGGGGCGAGGTCCCGTTTGGGCCCGCTTAGGACGTCGCACCGGTGGACTTCCATGAATTTCACGAACGTGCCGACAGTTGCGCACTTTGCAGCAGTTGCCAGCACGCAAGGGGCCGAGGTAGGAGGCGTGTAGGAGGCGTGTAGGAGGTAGGATGCGGGAGGCAGGATGGGAGTCTTCAGGGTTTCCCAGGAGTTCCAGCGCCTCCAGATCACCCATCACGAAGCCCATAGGGCCTCATGGGGCTCCAAAATAGTGCGAACAGTTGGCGACACATTGGGCCAGAGACACTTCTGGCAGCTTCCAACTTGGGTCCAGCTGGTGGGGCCTCAGGGACGAGGGAGACACAGGAAGCCTGGATGGCCACGACGAGGGCCATGACAGAGGGGAGGAGTACGCGAGACCTCGCAGCTGCCTGGATGGCTTCGAACTGCGCAACCGTCGCAACTTTCATGATCTCCTGGGAGGCACGGCGGAGTATCTAGCCGAGACCTCGCGGCTCCGCTTTCGAGGGCTCCTGGGTCATTCGGACCCGTCCGAGACCGCGCGGCTCCCTGGGTGGCTGCGAACTGCGCAACTTTCGCCACTTTCGTTGGCTCCTGGGAGGCACGTGGCTGCGAACTGCGCTATTGTCATCTCTCTCGTGGGCTCCTCGGAGGCACGGCGGAGGAGTGGAGTACGCGAGACCTCGCAGCTGCGCAGACGTCGCCACTTTCATGATTTCCTGGGAGGCACGGCGGAGTATCTAGCCGAGACCTCGCGGTTCCTTGGGGGATTGCTCCTGGGTCATTCGGACCTGGCTGAGACCTCGCAGCTCCCTGGGTGGTTGCGAACTGCGCCACTCTCGTTGTCTCCCGGTGGGCACGGTGGAGATGAGGGCAGCTCAGATCGTACATGCCTGCCGATGTGTTCTTTTGTATGGAGCGTTTATACAAGTATTCGCCTCGCCTGGAGAAGGAGTTTGGTGCGTCTCGGGTCATTATGTTTGTGCGTCGTCATCGCTGGATTGGCCACTGCCGCTGTATCACCACTGGTCGTTGGGCTTCCCTGCTTCCGTTTGGCTCGTCACTCTGGCGATTCGGAGAACTTGCGGATCCCTGGCCCCGTGGCCCCTTCGCCTCCCATGGTTGCTCATGCCAGAGGCTCTGACGTGCCAGCCGGCGTGACGAGGAGGGAGACGAGGTGTGAGGAGGGAGGATGAGGACCAGGATGCGGAGAAGGCGGAGGAGCAGGAAGAGGAGGGGGCAGGGTCGAAATTCCACCCTCCAGCAAGGAGCACAGAACGATGGTGGCCACTGCAATGGCCGCCCTGCTGGTGCCGCTGGGGTACCTGGCGAAGTGCTGCCACGTGGTGTGGTGCTTCCCCGCGAGGATGCACGCGGGTGAGGTCCCCCGCCGGGGCGGTGCGCGCATCGCCGGGAGAGGTGGCAGGGGCGGTGAGGAGATGAGACAGCTGCCGGCTGGCAGATGGCACTGCTGCCTCTGCTGCCCCTGCTGCCGTGCCCTCGCTCGTCTCGGTGGTTCAGAGACGGGGTTGAGGATAGAAAGGGATCCAATGGTGGATCTAAACTGTTTGACGCACCTCGTCCTTAGGACCCATCTCATCCCTCAGGACCCCATCTTTGAGCCACGGATCTTCTCTCGCCCCTGCTCTCGCTGCTGCAGAATACCTCTGCCGCTGCTGTTGCTGCTGCCCCTCCCCGTCCACCTCCCCGCTTCTCTTCTTGCCCTCGTCCCCGTCGTCGTCCTCCTCCTCGCGTCGATCTGTGACGCTGGCTCTGAGGCGCCCTCCCCCCTTCCCAGGTCGAGTATTTGCAGACCTACTATGCGTGACGCTTCGCGCGGGCACGACCGGGCCACGGCCTCCAGCGACAAGGGGGTCCCGAAGGTGTGGCGAACGGCGGCTCGACAGATCGGGCGTGACTCTCGGACGCGGCGAGCAGTCTGGCGTGCTGCTGCTCCTCCCCTCCCCTCCCTCCCTCCCTCCCCTCACTCCCCCTCCCTCCTCGTTTCCCCTCCTCCTCCCCCTCCCCCCCTCCCTCCCTCCCTCCTCCCTCCCCTCTCCCCCTCCCTCCTCCCCCCCTCCCTCCCCTCCCTCCCTCCTCCCTCCCCTCTCCCCCTCCCTCCTCCCCCCTCGCTTCCCCTCCCCTCTCCGTGCCCTCGCCTGGCCTTCCTCCCTCTGCGCGGGCCAGGGTCCGCGGGGGCACCCTCGGGCCACGCTCGAGCACGCGCGAATCGCGGCAGGACCTCAGTGATGGACGCCGCGGAGATTCCCCTTCTCGACGAATGCCCCGTCCGACCTGGTAGTGCCTTCCCGCCCCCTCCGCCCCCTCTCCCCCCGTGACTCGGAGGGAGGAGAAGCGATACCAACACCACCAGGGTGTCCCCTTCCGGGAGGAGGTCCACGATGCCTCCCCGAGCGAAAGACTGGGGATGTCTCGAGCGAGAGGGGGGACCACACCACCAGGTAGACCCCCCTTGCCTCCGCGCATCTCCTCGCCCTGTTGGTGTTGGGGTCGCCTTTCCTTGCTGCTACGCGACGTGCTGGGCCAGTCCACGAAACGCGCCCGCAGCGGGGTCGCCGTTGGCGGCCGCGAGTGCTCTGCCCACGACGCGGCGGGCACCAGAGGTTTCGCCGCCGTCGTCGTCGTCGTCGTCGTCGTCGTCGTCGTCGTCGTCGTCGTCGTCGTCGTCGTCGTCGTCGTCCGCCTCCTTCTCCTCGTCATCCTCGTCCTCCATCCTTCTCTTTCGTCTGCGCTCCTCTTCTCTTTCTTCGCCCTCCCCCTCCCCCTCACAATCCGCGGCCATGGTACCGCCCAGCTTTAGGGCAGGTGGCCACCGAGGCACCGTGTCTGGAAGAATCCTACACCCCGGCTGCGGAGGGGAAAGCGTCTGCGGTCAATGTATGCCAAGCTGCTAGCTCCTCGACCTGGCCGCCTTCTCCCTTCTCCTCCTCCCTCTCATTATCATTCCCTCTCCTCCTTCCTCTCCACCTCCTCCTCCCCCCTTCTCTTTCAGTAAATATGCTCCTCTCCGCCTCATCATGATATTGCCTCTCTCGCTGCCTGTCTTGCAATGCACTGTCTGTATTGTTACTGCGGTACTGATCCGCAGCTGTTTGTGCTCGAAGGAAAAACAGGAGCGAGCTTGCCTTCGGCCGCCGCGCGTCGTCGGTCGTCGGCCGGCCGGCCTCCTCCCTGACTAATCCTGAGTGCAATTGCTTACCGGTTTACTACTGTCTTATCGATGTCTCTTCCCGTACCCTCTACCATTCAGCAGAGTGAACGTGAGACCTTAATTCCTTTGTCATATTACCCCGATTCTCAGAGGAAAGACTGGTTACCAGCCGAAGCCCGCGACCAAGTCGCAACAGGGATGAGCTATGATGAGACAGCCGACTTGCCCGCCAGAGACGAGCTCGTGACACAAGTTGTGCAACACGGCGGGCAAGGACCACAGGACGGCGGCCCGGGGAGGGACCGCCTTCCCTCTCCTTCTATCGCCACCCAGGTCTCCCGGGGAAGGAGTAGGGGAGAGATTGTAGAGTTGTCCCGATACGATTTTCTTTCTCGGATTGCGATCGGAAATCGCGAACAAACCCCAGATCCGGCGAGGCGAAATGGCTCAACAGCAAAGATCAGACGAGGAGCTTTCTCGAGATCATTAATTGCCGTATCTTCGGAAACGATAAACTCCAACCCGATTGCTACGCGGACTGTCGTGCCGGCCGTTGGCCAAGCCAGTGGGTCGGAAGAAGCTCGAGAGTCCAGAGGCGCGTACCCCACCGTCCCAGACGGATGGGGAAACGCACGAGGAACTCACCCCATCCCGATAGCATTGAACGGACAGCCCGGCCAAGATAGTGACGAACCACTTGACGGGGAACATGATATAAATTCTATGGAAGAAGATTTCGAATATGCCAACCAACGAGTATCGTTGAGCCGAGAGCTGTCCTCGATAATGGACGCGGACCACCCCGCCCAAGGCGAGCGGTGGTCCCTTGGGCAGGAAACCATGGACTTTGATCAAGTAGGTGCCCTTGAGAAAGCGCTCGCATCATCAGATTCGGATATTGAGATACGTGGCCTGCCGCCCCAGGCGGTCGAGGTGAACGTTGAGTATCAAACCCAAGCGAAGCACGATAGGAAGGCCACAGGACGGACCCCCGCGCCTCAACTGAAGAAGCAGAGGACTGAGGATTACGATTTGAACGATTCACCGCTTCAGGAAGGATTTTATCGTCCTGCCGTCGCCCCAGGCGATTGGCAACCCTCGATACCTGCTGTGGTTCAGGATGACGAAACGATTGAACCCCCAGCTTCGCTCAGTGAGTTGACACGACAGGACGAGAGGGATGAGGAACTTCGAGAGGTGCCAAAGCCGCCAGAGAGTACGCACCTGCGTCCCAGATCGAATGCTTCGAGCCGAGGAAGGCTCAAGATACCCAGATCTGGAGCTCGATCCACATCGAGGAGCAACAGCGCGACATCTATGCGCCAAACATGCTGGAACTATGGCCCTAACTGTCCGCCCCAGGCGGAGAACAGGTGCCCGGGAAGAGCCCGCAAGCCTGAAGGAGCTTGCAGACGCCCAGTGTGTAGATATTGCTCAGACGTGTGTACTAACTGTAGCAATCAATGGTTGTGTGCGGACTGCTTGCCGATGGGAGAGCACAACTGCACTTGCCTTCATCTCCAGGCGATGCAAGACCAGGCTAGATATGTTGAGGCCAAAGCCCAGCAATAATTTCTGGCCCGTGACGCTCAGGGAGCAGAGAAAGCCCGACTGGATAGAGAAGAGATGCGTGCAGTCGTTGAGGACTTTCGGAGGACGTTCGAGGCTGAGAGACTCGCTATGGCCCAGGCGGTCAGAGAGCGAGAACAAGAACTGGTGGAACAGATGTCCTGTCAGACCACGGCCGCCAAGCGGATCGTGGAAGAAGAAGCTGAGAACATATATGCTGAGATGATGGCTTCCGAAAGACAAGCCGTTATGACGGCAAGCCGTCGGTCTGTTGATGCCAGCGCAGTGTCCGCAGCTGTTGCAGTGGCAAGAAGGAGAGAGGATCGTCGCAGCTAGGGCAGTTCAAGAACAGCAGGAGTTCCAATAACAACTTCAAACTGCCAGGTTGGAGGCGGCCGACGCCCAAATTGTAGCTGCGAAGATAGTCGATCAGAATAATCCATATCGAGAAGAGCTCAGGTGTCACATGAGAACGCCAGATCGTCTCTCCAGCGTGCGCAATCGAGCGACAGCGCGCGCCCACGGGCCAAGCCGGCTGGGACGAGCAGACGACCATCGCCGGCGGCCCAGCCGTCCGGTACAGCGCCCGTTCCGGCCCAGTCTGATTTGATGACCGTAGCGAGTGCGGCACCGTCAACGTTGCGGGTAAGGGCTGCACCGCAGCCGCCACTTGCGGACTGCCGAGTTGCAGAGATCACTTTGACGCGAGCGCGAAGCGGTAATCTACGCGCACTCAAAAGAAGAGTTTGCCGGCAGAGCTGGGGAAGTGGAGTGAGCAATGGCGCAGCGCAGTGCTACTCGCGAACTTCGGGCCCAACAGCAAAGCTCCTTGATGGATGTAGCGCGGACAAGATAAATGGTCAACGAACGACGGAGCAGGCTGGAGAGCAGATCAGACTGAGCTCAGAAAAGGTCAGTTGCCAACATCAGAAAGGGAGATGAAGCCATGACTAACATAGCTGCCTCAGAGAAAGGAATGATGAAGCTCGCAGTTATCATCGCAAAGCCATTTCCGCATAGTGAAAAGGGACAGGAAAGAGCGCCCACTTAAAATTCATTCGATATGCCTTTGCTTTCACAAGAAACGCCTGTGAGGTCTGTTATGCGACCTAACTCTACTGTCCCCGGCCCCGCGATCGAAGGTCCAGCCAAGCCGAGTACCTCTGAGAATGGTCTACCCATCAACATGCAGTTGACAGGTGCCAATGAAGGTGCTGGTTTTGTTAATTATCATCCATTCCTCTAGGGGCGGGCCTGTGAGACCGCCAGCGGCCAAGCCGTCCGGCGGGGCGGGGCAGGGCGCAGATAGGGGTGGCAGGAGTGACGCGCCGAGTACTGAGATTATGTCGACGCGTAATGACGCTATCTGCGATCGGCCAGATAAGCCGCCTCCAGGGAGCCCGGGGGGGCCAGGATCCTCAGATGGTGGAGGCGGTCGTGGCGGGCCTCAGGGCCCAGGGGGGCCGCGTGGCCCAGGAGGCCTTGATGAGAGTACCCCGTTGGGCCAGTGGAGACAGGTCGGAAACAATCAGAAAGTTGAACTGATGGACATTCCCGACGTTGCGCACATACGGGAGTGGCAGATGCATGCGATCCGCGCGATCGCTGGGTCATCTCCTGAGATCCAACTTGCACAGCGATGGATCACGGAAGCCATGAACCCTGCGGTAGACGATGAACAACTCAAAGACCCAGGCCGCTTCCAACGTCTTGACATGATGATTGCCGCAAGTTTGATTGATAAGTTCAACGAGATGCGCAAGAATCGCAACCTGCCCAGTCACCACTTACATTTTCTCCAGCAAATCACTCGAATGGAGTGCACCGCTCAGAATCAGGAGAGACTTTTGACGGGACGTGAGATGGTACGAGCCATTTGCCACTGGTGTTCTGTTAGGTCCGAGTTAGGCCAACGTCGCATTTCGCGTGATATTTTCATGGTAGTCATTGACCCTAACAAGCCGGACGCTGACCTGTATCATTTTTACTTTATAATGAGTGGACTGATGTTTACCAGCAGCTCTATGGCGCACGACCTCCGTCCGATGAGATGAGAGCTTCGATTCATGCGCACTTCGTCG